TTATTTTATTCACTTTTAATTCACTCATTCAACATTTGCTCTGTTGATCTGCTGTAATACTGTGAAGTTTTATATTTAATCAACTTAGCTAGACTGGAGTGTTGATTTCTCAAGGTTTGCTTGATTTTCTTTGTTATTTGATTGACATAATTTTGTTTCATTAAATAAAAAAATAGGGCACCTTTTCATTAATTGATACCTGGACCTATTCTCTTTACAGTTACAGAATACATATGTCTTGAGATACAAAATTTACAAACTCTTTGCATTCTCTTAGMAATTAAATTTAAATTGCTTCACAGCTTGATTAATAAAAACAATGATCACTATACAAAAAAGTCTTATGTTTTAGTTCAATATAGAACTAAATGTTTTAATGTTTTAATGTTAGTTTTTTCATATTTTATTTTATTTTTTATCTTGATATAAGAAAGTAAAGCTGACAGCCCATTTGTCATATCTAGAAGCCAATGTATAAGATTCGTAATAATGAATTGGTACTCTAGAAAAGCAAACCCAGTGGATTAGGTATGAAAAGGAGGTAAAGCAGGAGGGTAAAAAGGTGCCTTTTTGCCATCATTGAGTTGTTTGGGTGTGTATTATTCCCATGATGATACATTTTTTTTTAGTTAAACAAAGTAGGGTAAAAATATCAGGATTTCAATAGCTAAATTTTATCACTGTTTAATCTTTTAATATAAGCATGCCCAAGAACTCAAACCATCCTTTTTTTTTCCCTCTTTCACATGGAGGTAGGTTTCTAAAGCAGGACATGTGTAGGATACAGGAGGACAGTGGTGAACACACTGTGATCTTGTGATCTATGTTTTTTCTAGTCCTGATTGACTTGTAATGAAAATTTGTTAACTGTTGTATTGAATTTGATGGATTTACTAAAACTGGGCTGTCTGAGAAGATCTTGCTTGCCTTAAAACAAATGGGCACATATTTAAATTTTCTCATCAAGAGGAACTTTCCTATTTTGATACTTGCTTTTTCTTCTGGTTTAAATAGGAGATCTTTTCCTTTTCTAAGCCCTATGCACRATGTCTTCCTGTGTTACTCAGCTCTGATCCTGTTGAAAATGTGTGTGCAGCTCAGGGTGCTGGCTGCAAACCTCCCGAGGTTTTTATTTTCTCAAATAAAAAAAACTGTTCACTGCCCTGTTTCTGAGGGACAGAGGCACATCCAGTCCTGTTTGGTTGTGAATATGAATGCAGAAGCGTCACTGTGGAGACTGAGTAACTGGGATTGCCCTGCATTGACAGACCCAGGGCTAAATGGGCTTCAAAGTCCACTGCTTGCTCTGCAGGAGAAGCAATTGCTTTGGGATTGGCATGAGATATGAGAAAGCAGAAAGAGAAGAGAAAAAAAAACCACCTTGCTTTGCTCTCAAAGTTGTGCATGCTTTGTAAATGGCTGCTGTTTGTGTCTGAGCTCTCATGCCAGCACCTTTCATGTCTTAAGGAAGTTTGGAAGCAACTYTGCAAATGAATGTTTTCCTGCACAGAGAGTTTACATTTTCAGTAAACAAGTCTGGGGCACAGTGCTGTTTTTTGTTAGTAGTAAGGGTTTTGATTGCTTYAATGACTTGCAGAGGCTGTGAACTTGCAGCTCCCGTTATTCCCCTTCCATGAACCACTGGGCTCTCAGCACCTCTGGAGCTGTTAAAAGAGCAACTGAATTTATGCTTGTTTCCTCACTCTGAAAATGAAATGTCTTCTTGAGTCTTTCAGGTGTCAGAAAACCCCTGGCTCATCAGGAAAGGCTAAGCTAAGCTTGCCTCAGTTAGTAAAAGCCAATAAAATCTTTTGGTCCTGGGTAGCTAACCCATAAATGAAAGTTTGACATCAGAGAGTGAATGTGGACCCTTGTAGAACAGCAACCAAGAGCTGAAAGACAAGTGAAGAATACATGTAATAGTTAAAATAATGCAGAAACCAACGAGACATTCAACTTTTTGCAAGTACAGCCTATGCAGGAATTTCTATGCAGTGTAGAAAAGTGCAGATAAATGCTTGGGTGGCATTTGCAATCCCATTTGCTGTTCTCCCCTGCCAACAAGAAGATCAGAACATACCCAGAATACCTGATTAATTCACAGGAGCACACAGGACACAAGCACACAACTTACAAGGACCAGGCAATATGGAGCAACCAAAAGTTCTGCTATGGCTAAGGTGAGAGGGGAAAAATCAATTCCTGAGCCAACAAACACTTTRTTTTGATTTTTAGTTACTTACTGAATCACAGAATTTCTCAAGCCACCTACCCATTTTGAAAATGGAGGCCAAGCAAGCCACATTCTTGTTTTTCTCTTTCCCAGCAGTGTACCAAGTKCCACTTGCCAGTCTGGCACTTAAAGATGTTTCTAAAAGACAGCTTTGTTTTTCTAGGAAAAAGAAAAATCTATATTTTGAAGTAAAGAAAGAAGCTCTCCTGCCTCTTAATGCTAGCCTGAAACAGCAGGATGTTGGGGTAAGCATTATTGTTTTTTCTTTCAGAATTTCTCTCTTTTTCCTGATGCTCACATCAGAATTCTCCTACTTAAAGCACAAATTAAAGTAAAAGAATTGATTTTTTTTTATTATTGAAAAAGAGATGCCAGTAGCATGCTGTTYTATATATTCATATTGCTGGGAGTCAGGCTTTTACCTGTGCTAATGAAATAATATGATACAGGTGCCCTCTTCAGGGGGGGAAACAATTATAAAGGAATTTTGGTGGCTTTTGGCATTTTTCAGTCCAGTGTGGGACTTACTTGGTGTGGCCAGGAKGTGCTGCCTGGGACCTGGGAAAGAAAGAACATTTATTGCAATAATACTTTGCTGAGCCATGCTCTGCAAGATGTATTTCAGTCTTTTGCTTTATCCAGGCTCAATTTTGCCCAGAGAGCTGGGAGGTGAAACCAGGTCCCGAAAGAGAACAATTTTGAGCCAATCAGTATCTTTAGATTATCTTTCCATGGAGCAGCTCAATATTTGATGAAAGCAAAAACCTTCAAATTGTAGAAATAAAAACAAACAGCCCTCCCAAATCTCCCTCTCCCCTGATGCTTTAATTTGCTTGTTTTTTTGAAGAGGGGATGCTCTTCTCATCTTCCACTTTTATGAAAATTGAAAAGCTTAGAGAGAATGTTGTGCTCACATAAGGCCTTTGCTGCAAGATCTATCTTAGGAAATAGATTTTATGTCCTCTCATGTGAAGGAAGAAGCTTTTTCATTGTGTTACCTGTTTTCCTGGGTGCTSTGTGCACATCTGAAGCACAAAATAGCCCCTGCTTTTACAGTGCATGAAGAAGTGGAGAAGTATGGGGAGAGAGGGGGATTGGCCTGGCACGAGGGTCAGCTCAGTTAATGTCTGCACTCTYCCACCACAGAACACAGCATCCTGGAAATCATTCATGCATCTTCCACAAAATACCTGGAAGAAGGCAGGAACCTGAATCTGAACTGCCTCATCAGGCATGAACAGAATCAGTCATCACAAATYGAGGCTCACAAGAGCCAATAAGGAAAATGAGATGGGGTTTGCAAAGGAGATGGAAAGCTTGCACCTCTCACAAAACTCAGACCCGGTAGCAAAAGTCACATCCTCATTAAAAACTTCTGAAAATTCAGGAAGTCAACCAGTCAGGCAGTGCCTGCTATCAGTGCAGAGCCAAAATAAAGARTGTTTTCCTAACTGCTGTGGGCCACTTTAATAGGGTAAGTGTAGCAGTAAGCTCTGTGTGCAGGAACTTGCTTGCAGAGGGAGCTGGGAGGTGACACAGTGGTGACTCGGAGAAATTTCTGCACGATAAAAACTGTGATCATGAAGATGTGTGCTCTCCTCCTAGGGTGTGAGACTGAAATTGATTGCTGCCACACTGTGACATGTGCAGCAAGTTTCATACTCCTCTGTCTCTTCATCTGTGCATGCTAAGTGCAGGGCTAACACGTGAAAAATGTCAGGGATTTGTTTTAGATTGGCTGTGGATTTCTCTGAGCTAATGGAAATAGCTTCCCATGGGATTTCTTCTCTGAGCACCGTTACCAGAGCTGAAAGGAATGGGGTGGAAAAAGCAGTGTGGAAAAATGTGTGTTAGTCTTGGGTTAGATGCAGGTCTGTCCTGGCTCACCTAGCATCTGTTCTGCATTCACAGGCAGCAAAATTATTTTATCTGAAACGAGATGTGTGTATTTTCTTGAACGGAGACCTTTGTGTATGCAAACAGCCTGGCCTTGTCACCTTGGAATTCATTGTAATGTGCAGACCTCAGTGAGGATTGGTGCTTGGAGGGAGTGGCACTTGAGTTATGGGACCCACTGCTGTGAGTTACTTTGTTCTTACTGAGGTGAATTTTTAATTCTCTCGCTTCATTGCATAGAAGAGAAAAAGTATTGTGTAGAAAGGCTGGGGAAGCTGAAAGTGGCAGTGCCCCTGTGCAATTATTTCTGTAAGTGCCTTAATTCATCACATGGATGGTGTTCTCTGCTTGTACCCAGCGGCTCCAGCTCCATCCCCCCAGCAGAAGGGAATATCTGTTTGGTCTAAGTAGCCAAGGTGGTGAACTCCTAGAGCTTTGTAGGTTGCTTCTGATCTGGATGGGCTGAAAAAAACAACGTTCCTTCCAAGCTGTTCCCCAGCTTTGTTAAAATGTAAGGATTATATTCACCTTTTGCCTTCTTAAAGTTTTCTCTAGAATATTTTGACTAAAAATAAAATAAGAATTATGCCTTCAGTCACCTTTTTGACACCAATTTTTAGGCAAGGAAAGATGCAGTTCTGCAGACTATTATTTGCATGTTGCTCATCTTTGTATCAGGTATAGCATTGCCAGTTCCACAGATAGGACAGGGTTGACTTGGARCAGAATAAAGCTCTGAAGGGTGGATTTTGGGCTGGAGAAGCTGTGGGCTGTGGTCATATCCTGGATAATTGTGTATGTCAAAGGTAAGAAGATATACACATTTTTTTTCCTGAAAATAAGTTGTAATTGATTTTTATAAAATCACAAGTCTCTTGTGTGTATTTCTGGCATTGTCTGTACAGTTACTGACACCCCTTTCCCAATTTTTTTTCCAGCTGTACTTTCTGGGACCTGCCTCCTGTGCAGGGAGGTTTTTTCCTTTCTTCTACAGCTTTTTGGAAAGAAGGATTTCCCATGTTGTTCTCTCCCCTGAAATACCTTCTGGCATGTTCCTAGTCCATCCTCTGTGCTCTTCAGCTTGCTCTGAGAAAGCTGAGAATGCTCTCAGTGTGATGAGCTCAAGGTGGGGAATGCACAGGAAGTAAAAATGAGGTCAGTGTCAAAATGACTCTTCTATAAACAGAAACCAAAATCAGTTGTGRTGTTTTATCCAGTTCTAGGATAGTTTGAAAGCTTGTTTTGTCTGCAACCTTTAAACAGTGCTGCCTCCCTCTCCCCTTTTCCAAGTATTTATGTAAATTTGGCTTTTGTGAAAGGACTTCTCTCTCAGGCCTTTCAATTTGGTACCAAATGACAAGGGGAAGATGGTTACACCTGCATCTGTTTCTGTGGTAACTGATGCTTGTCTGATGAGCATTGCTGATCTCTGCCATGTTTTTCATACTTGGACATTTTTGAATGTCAAAGCAGATTTAAAATAAATAGACCAAGTGAAGATTTATCTCCTCACCACTTTGCAAGGGATCTGATTGTTTATCAGTTCTGAAGGGCTGCAGTGACTGCTGCTGTGGGAGCCTTTCAATCACAGCAGCCTGATTTTGGATTCTTGTTGAAATAAACATGTAAGTCACATCTGACAGAACCAGCTGCTTTAAGGGCATCTGTACCAAGCAGTGTAGATGTCTTGCTAGGTGGAGGAAGGGAAAAGGCTCAGGGAAGGCACTGTAGGATCCCATGTTTTGGGCTCCAATGAGCCAATTTGGAGTGCAGATATTTTTAGCACTATTATTCAGCTGGCAGCGCGCTGTACAAACGCACATCAGCACAATGCTTCTCCCCAAGGCTGGTGTAGCTATGTTTCCACCTCCTGGCAACTGCGAGGAATAACTGTGGAGAGACTAAGGAGAATYTTTTGGTTTTTGCAAGGCGCTAGAAGCTGAACTAGGAATTTTAAAGAGGCAGTTCTCTTGAGTTCAGGGGGATTTTTAACTCTCTGGTGTTCAGTATTCTATGCTGTGTATAAASATAGGCGCTGCTTCCACATATTCTGCTTTGCAACAGCTGTGGATATGAGTCCTTGGGCTGGAAGGTGGTAAAAACAAGGTGTTTGCAGCAGGTCTGAGTAAAAAGACACCAGAGGGGCATATTACATTGAGGGAGTATCAGTGTATATCCATGGTAACTGGGGACAGGAACACCTAGGGGAATTCCAGCTCCAAACACCTATGCATTCTGTGTATTAGGGAAAAGAGTTGTTATAGAGGCTCATGCTATTAAAGAGGACACATCGTCAAGACTAGGAATTCTGTGAGGTGAGTGGCCTTCAGTAATAAGAAAATATTGATTTTTTTTTTGTCACAAATAAGTGTTTTAGGTGGCTCAAAGAATCAGCAGCAAAGGAATTGGCAAAAGCAATATTAAAGTGAAATATTTAACTTAATATTAATAAAATATTTAATTCTAATAAATATTAAATTAAACTTTTTATTTAATTTTATTTAATATTTGTAATATTTAATGTTGAAGAGAAAGCAAAACAAAGTGGATAGGGAAGGCTCATTCTACTGCTAACTAGATGGTAAAAGCACAGAGAAAAATTGTGCTAAAATGTAAAATCAATCAATCTAAAACTAAAATCAACAACAAATGATCTATATTGAAGTTGGGGAAGAAAAAAGGGTAAGGATGGGAAAAGATAAGCGTAAAAAGGAATAAGGAAGGCCCTTCCATTGAGTCACAAGGTTCAGAGAGGACTGCCTTGTCAAACCTAACTCCAGACTTGACAAATGGTTTAGGCACAAACTCAGGTTGTTATTCAGGCTAGAAAAGTAAGTTTCCAAGGCTGTTTGTTAAAAACCAAGAGCTTGTTAAACAGCCCTAGTTCCTGGGAGCACACAGTGTTTGAGATAAGCTCCGGAGAAGCTCAGCCCTGTTCATCAAGGCCAAGACCTAATGAGCATTTTGATGTCATAGTGCAGACCGAGGAGAGGGGGGCAGCATTCTRTGAGTGTCTTTCAGCAGTAAGAAAACACTAATTTTCCCAAATATAAATCTCTTGCACAAGTCAGGGTGATTTCTCCCTGACCCTGGCAACAGTAGAGCCAGAGCTGGGTTTTCTTTTAGCACCTGCTCAGAAATCTGTAGTGCCTGCTTCTTGTCCATGCCAGGGCAATGCCATCTGCCTGCTTTACAGGAAAGAATGAAAAGGTCTTTACCCRTCTCACAACTGCCCTGTGTGAACCAGCAAGAGACAACTTTCAGTAGATTGTGCAATACATGTTTCTAGAGCCTATAAAGATATATAGACTGCTAGTCCAAAGCTTCCAGATCAAAATGTTGTTTTCAGTGAAAATGGATTTTCCAGCTGGTTGTCCAGGTATGCATTCAGCCAGGATCCCTCATCCCATATGTTTCTTATGCCTTGTTAATGGCATTAAAACTCTTTTGGAGAAGTTTTGTAGTACATAAATGTAAATCTGATGGAGCAGTGGTGCTGGACTCACTGAATCTGGACTTTGAGTGAGGTTGTTTTTGTCATTGTTCAGTTGCAGGTACCCCCCCCATGTAATATGCAGTCAGTGTCCACGGTTATCTTCTTTTCATGAGGGATTACTTGGGAAAATCACCCTCTTCAAAAAGGTTTGTTGGAAGCCTGTATTGTTCAAAGTTGTCTCTAGTTTATCCTTTTGGATGCATTTTTACATCATTTGGCCAGAGACTCTTTATCATTACAGAAGCCATAAACTATCTCTGACAGTAAACCATGTGAAAGCAAGGTGCAACTCAGATTTCTAGTGATGGAGACTTTGCRAACGAGCCAAGAACTTTTCCTGCTGTGTCAGAGGGCTGTGAGTGCAGCAGCTCTAAGGGTGTGGTTAATGTTGTACCTCTATTTAATGTTTTTYAAAAATATTAATGTATGTAGCGATACACATAGACATGGCCACTGCACAGACGCTTCTAGCAAATTAATATATGGGTCTTTTACACATACTTTAAGTGAGCCCTTAGCTGTGCACAGGCACAGCCATGTAGCTGTAGCCTATTTATGGACATAGTCTGCACAGGCCTGAGGGCAGGGGTGGCAAGGAGGCTGTGGTCTGTGGCATGAATACATTCAGCAAAATCCTTGTGGTTCTCTGTCTGTCACTTCTGCCTACTCTGTGCTAGTATTTTTTWAAAATCTTCCCTTTCTCTCACTCGTGTCATAATGCTGCATCTTAACTTTTCACACAGCGCCTTGGGACATTGAATAAGGAGACAAGGACGTGCTTGCTCTCCCAGCCAGGAGAAGCTCTGCCACCCCATCCTCAGGAGCTTCCCCTCTGGGCTCTGTTTTCAGCCACTCTGGGAAGGTGAGAAAATGAAGGCCTTTTATCATCAACACCCACAGTCCCATGACAGCATTAACATTTGTGGGAGATGACCTGACTTGATATCATGTTTTTCACTGGGCTACAGAAAAGAGGGGGCAGTTTGGTTAGCAGAAACCCGAACAAGGAAATGTTGTAGGACTTCTCCCAGCAACTCCACTCTCCTGCATAATCCTGCCTCACACTGAGCATAAAATTTGCCAGAGGTGCTGGTAATCAGAAGAGAAATGAGGTGAGAAGTTTTACTGGAAACAGCCGGGGAGAAGTTTTCTAGACCACCAACGCAGAGCTATAGGTGCTAACTGGCTCATGAGAGAGGGAGTGTGTGACAGCAAGGAAACCTACATGGTGAGGAAGGAAACAGGTAAAGGACAAGCATCCTCTTTGGTTTATCACCCTGCACCAAAASAGTGTGGGCAGTGGTAGATGGCATCCTGAGTCTGGTGTCATGACTTTAGTTTGCATTTGAGAGGTGGGATGTGTCRTTTTTTTCCAATATAGATGTGGGTTTCTATTTTAGGTATGCTTTGTTACACAACCAATTTATTCCACTTGTAAAAAGCCCCACAGAAATGAAATGGAAGAAAACTACAGACCTTCCTCTTCTGCCATACTCTAACAGTATGTATTTCATATTTGGAAGTGTTGATCTAGCTGCTCTACAAACACAGGAAACAAATTTTTTTCTTCCTTAAATATACAAATAAATAAAATAGATACCTTCTTCTATGTGATGACTGCAAGGGCTGAGAATGCAGCTCCTTGAGGCTGGAGAAGCTGTGTCCCAGCTGATGGCAGYTCCTGGGGCTTCTTGCAGGATCCTCTCAGCTGTCCATGGAATGGGGAAGCTGTGGATATCAGAGAAAATCAGCTTCCCTGGAGTGTGAARGGGAAGGAGCAGTGAAGAGCTGAAGGAGAGAGGTCTGGTAAGTGTCTCAACTCCTGCTTAGCACTGCCTAAACYATGGTTAGTGATGCTATAGGTGAGACTGACTTGACATGTCAGGGACGACCACTTGGGATTTTATTTCTGCTATATGTCAGGCCTTCCGCTCTTTCTGTTCTTTTAAAAGCAGAAATTACTGGAGGTTTGTAGCTTCTTTCTGTGCAGTTYGGGATGTGTGGTGCAATTCCATCGTGTTTGGTTGTGGAGTGGGAGGCCAGTACCTCTGACTGAAAGATCATGTTATAAACCATCTCCTCTCTGTTCATCTCRGAATACTTGTATGGAAGATTTTTCTTGGGTTATCCACAGCCCTGAAAGCAGGATTGCTAGTTCTTGTGGATTGCTAGTTCTCATTTTTCCCCTGGGAAATCAGAAACAAAAAGCAGCAGGCCCACAAGGGGCAGGAGTTAAAGCAGTTAAGATCACGAACATCTGTGTGTAGACAGATTTGTCTGCTTTAGTATTGGGATCAAGTGAGAAGGTCCTGAGGTCAATGACCTACCCCTCTACGGCCAGGGATGGAAGTTGCTGAGCATGGCCCTCCTGGCCCAATGCAATCAGCCAGGGGGGAAAAAAAWATCTTGATCTATGGAAATTGCAGTGTAATTTCCTCTGGATATTTTAGTATGGGAGTGTCAGAATTTAAAGGCTTCATTATCCCCCATCTGTCTGCTGACATTGGTGAGAGCCACAGATGGTTTATACCTGGGAAAGTCAATGTTTTAGGTACAAGAACTGTTTTTTTTCCCATAAAGTGGAAAATGTAAAGCAAATGTCTTCTTTCTGAAGAGAATGAGTTATCAGTGGTGATGCTGCTCTCATTTATCCTTTGCTCCTACTCCCCCTTCCCAACACTGGGACTGGCTGAGGGGACTGGCTGAGGGGACTGGCTGCAAGGCAGCTACAGATGTGAGCAGTGCTCCTTGGCTTGTGCAATAACTTCATGGGACTCAGCTATTTTCCAGATGAGCTAAGGATAAAAAGGTAAATATATCTGAGAAGAGGGGAGATGCCCAACTGCTTTCTGGAATTAAAGCTACTATGTACTGCAATTATTTTCCCCTGGGGACAAAAAATCTGCACTTTGTAATGTTAATATTGGTATTACTCTAAATACTGGTATCTTGATGAATTCAATAGATAGTCACYGTAAATCTCTGCCTTCCCATGGAGGAAATTTCAAACCTATTTACCTTTAGGTATATTTACTGAAACRCTGTAATTTGACAGTTGTTTTGTATAAATTGTCCATGATTGTTTTGAGAGCTCCTTCTATTAGGCTAATTCTCTCTTTCAAAAAAAAAGCCATCCACCCTCTGTTTCCCAGTTGGTGGAGAAAGCTTTGTAGTTTGGAACTGAATGAAACTAGCACACAAGCTGGATGGGCTGAATTTCAAATCATCTCTGGCTTCAACTGATGCCAGCAACTGTGAGACAAGAATGGAGTCTGAGAAGAAAATGCTTTATGGAGGTCCAGATCCATCAGTCATTGACAGTGGTARCAGTCTTCTGTTAGGCTAGTCCAGAGTTCTGGGATCAATTTTCAGGGCCAGGATATCTTTCAGAGAATAAAAATATCAGGAGGCTCTAAAGTCAAAGTCATTGTCACAGGTCAGCTGCAGGTGGCTAAAGAAGATGGCTCAGAACAGAGCAAGAACAYAGCCTCTCCTCTCCCCTAGAACTTTTCAGTTTCAGCTTTGGGAATGTGTACCTGCTGACCCTTTTGATACAATTTGTCTTCCTCCCAGGGCATTCAAAGTCTTCCTATATTTCATTGCTTCATTTCCAATGGAGGGAGTTGAGGAATTCCCAGCAGAGCACCCTTGCTTGGGAGAAATGGGAGCAGCAGTGGAGGCTGACCCGYGGATATTGAAATATGGTTTAGCCAGCATCTTTCACTTCAGAAAAACTGTAGGCTTTTCAGCTGAGTGCTGTGTGGTCTTGGTGATGAGGTGGAAACATCAAATGCTGTGTAGAAGATGCTGCTGTTGCTCTGTCAAAAGTGTGGGTATGCATTGTAAATAAAATAGCCTTSATTTGCAGAGCAGTTACCTTATAGAGGAAACATGAGAGCTGACGCAGATGTGTGCAACTGCTTCCTCTTCTTGCTGTCCCTTCCAGCCCTTCCTTGCCCAAAGACACAGGTCTCACAGAGAACAGACTTCTAAGGCAGGGTCTTTTTTACCCTTTAAAATGTGTTTCCACTGCAAAACAGAACCACATTTTCTGAGTTAAACACTGTGACATACATAAAAAGCTGTGGTGACAACGGATACACTGATGGATATCTGACCTTTTCCTCTTTCAGATTGTGTTAGCAAATATTTTAATCATGTTGGACTTTGCTTTCCTTTGTCTGATTTTAAGTTGGCACTCTGCATAGCTCAAGGCTTGTGGCTCGTGTTTGATGTGCAACAGCAGACAGCAAAGGTTGTGSCTTGTTCTTTGTGTCACAAAGCAGTTTGTTTCCCTCAATTTAACTGGGCCACATCCTCTTCAGGGCAGTGTACAACCAGAGGGGTTTTTTCACTCAWCTCTTGGAGGGGGTGGAGTCTTTATCTGTCTGTGAGACGAATCAGCTGCGTGTCAAGGTCTCAGAAGCAACAATGAAGAGAAACTAAGGAACGCACAGCTGAAAACGKACTGCTGGGATGGAATCTCCTGAATTGAGATAGTTCTCACTTTGCAGGTATAACTGGGCCCTTTGTGGGGACAGAGAGGGAAGGGAGCTCCAGGTGCAGTTCTGCAGTTCCCTGGTGTGCAGCATTAGCCATCAGGACTTTGAACCACATCGCAGCAGCTGCGTGTGCTGACGTCTCTCTCCTCATCCCAGAACCAGGATTGGAACATGCTGGAACTGCTGCTGCTCACTCCCATTCTCCTGGGGCTGGGGGCTCCTCTTGAGCCTGAAAATTGGGTAACTCTCCTCCAGCCTCAGCTCTCCTTGGGATGAATCCGAGCAGGAGCGGTGCCGTTCCCCGGCTGAAAGAGTGATGCACACATCGCTCGGTCTCGTGCCAGCCACYACCACCGAGGCTGAGTAAAAGTTTTAATGTATTTTAATGCAGCTATTGAGGCATTTTAATTCCATCAAAGGCAATAAYACAAGGCAGGCTACAAATGTGCATTTGCTACTTTTAAATGGATTTGATTCATCTGYGCTCGGTTGCTCCTTTTTGGCTTTTACTTTGAGAGTTCCTTCTCGCTTATAGGCGCAACTCTTTGAGGGCTGTGAATTTCAAAAATTGCAGATTAAATTCTGCTTTTCACACATGAATATTTAAACAGAGTAATATACTCTGTTCTTTCTGTAAGGTCCCATTTTTAATCATTAATGCCTGTTCTTTTGAGCAAATAAACCCCATATGTGAGATTTATGTGTATTTAAAAAAAAGATACTTCTCTGGGACAATTTCCAATATGACACTATTCTGCTATGAATATTTATGGACCCATCAAAACTGGTGAATACTGAATTTGCTGATTGAAATTRTGGARGTTTGTTTTTTTCTTTTACTTCCCCTTTGAAAGAGACTGAGAAATTCTTYGCAAATTGGGTCAAGTTCAGTACATAATTCTGGTCAAAATGTATCCTTTTAATTTTTTTTGTTAAAAACAGCTTTTAAAATTTCAAACTTTTTTGATTGGAAGCAACTTTTATATGCATAATGTATCCAAATTAAAAAAAAAAATTCCCAAAACTTTTGACATTATTGAATAAAACTAAACACAACAAAATATTTCCTTTTCGGTGAAGATTTTATGTGAGAGAAAATTAAATTTGTGATGTTTTTAATGTAAGAGTTACATTGCCTGTTGCACACTAGTAGCAAAATACAGATCAATTTGGTTGTATTGGCATTTTTAACAGGTTGTAATGAAAGGTTTTCATCCAGACGCGTCACAATTCTTTGTTAGAGTTGTGAGGAGAGCAATTCTGTTGAGGATGGTGAGGCACTAGAACAGGTTACCCTGAAACCGTGGATGCCCCATCCCTGGAAGTGTTCAAGGCCAGGCTGGATGAGCTCTGAGGAGCGTGGTCTGGTGGAAGTGTCCATGGGAAGGGGKTTGGAAGTRGATGATCTTGAAGGTCACTTCCAACCCAAACCATTCTGTGATTCAGTGACTTGATGGTGCACTTGCATCACATTGTGTTAAAGAAAACACCATCCTCTCTTGCGTTTGGTTTGTTCTTCCTGTGCCACACATGTGGCACTGTTGTGGCTTCTTTCCTGTACACCAGGCAGCCTCATGTGATCATTTCCATATTTAATATGAAATCTTTAATGCTGCCTAATTGAAGCCTGTTACTTTCATGGCAATTGGTACCAGATTAGGATTTAGGTCTCTGTGTGCACAGTGAACCCTGGCAGGAGGAGGCATTTCCTTCTCCTCCCAGCACGTGCTGGGAAACTTATTGTGTTTGAAAATGGGTGTGAACAGTGCATGATCCAAAGAGCCCGAAAGGAAAGTCCTGCTACAACACATGTGACATTTCTGAATCAGCCACTGCACAGAGATATTTGCTTGTCTGATGCATCTTGGGTTTTGACTTGGGAATGAAAACATTGTGTCAGTATTTCTCATGGGATGGGAGCACAATTTTCCAATCATGTCTAGCTGTGGGTACCCAATTCAGAAAGCAAAATATTAAAAGAGATAGAAATGGCAGCATTAATAAGGCATTTATAAGTTTGTTAAAAAGTATAAATAGTTGCAGAATAGCAGAAGTTCTAGATGCTTCCTTAGTTCACTGTGTCTATGAAAGCAAGAGGCAAACTCGCATGATTTAATTCCCTTGTAATAGGAGAGTTCCTCTTTATTTTCTGCTCTTTTTCTGATCCAGAAGGGAAGTTACTCTTCAAGGAATTAAAAGCATGCAAAGGTTAGGAATAATTCCCTTGCCAAATAGGTGATGAGTGGTACCAGATATCCAGGAATTAAAAAAACTGTAAACAGTAGCTTGGATGGCTTTTTTACTTTCAACCCTGTTTTGCCTTACTGTCTTCAGTACAAGAATGACACTTGACATGGGGTCTTGTTTAGAACTTCTGCTTTCAAAGGAAACAGAGGTTTTACAACATGTTCTCTTTGAAGGGATGTGCACAACAATTTGTGACTACATGCCATTTTCCTTGCCTTCACTTTCTGCAGCGCTGATTCCTTCTGCTAAAGATGACTCAGAAATGGGCACTTTTGGCTGTTCTCCTTCTCTTGCCAATGAATCTGGTTGCAAGTAAGTGAGAAAGATCCAAAACCACATGTAGCACTGTTGGTACTCTATTTATAATCTGCCAGTATGCTGAAACTTCATAGTCCAGAGTCAGAGCAAATTTTTCCTGTTGTTTAGTGGGAACGCAGAGTGATGTCACCTCAGCTGACAAAATAATTATGTGCCTTGCAGAGTGGTACAGGATGATAAATCTGATAGGAATCCAACCCTGATCATCTGAAGACAYGTCTGTTCCACTGGGACAATAGCAGGAGAGCTATGATTTCTGGAATTTGAGGGATCTACATGCGGCTCTTCCTAAACTACTGCTCCAAGTGATCTTGGGTTTTAACCCTGCCACGGGTGTGTGTTTCACAGCCGTCCTGGGTTTTACTGGCACTTTAAGCAAGACACTTAATTCATTACCACAGTAATTATTTTTAAAAGTAGTTTCCTTTCTCGTAATAGTAAATTTTACCCTCCCCATCAATTTTTCAAAGTCTGTATTAAAGTAATTGAAATTTGTTGCCTAAAAAAGGTGGAGGACTTGCAGCTCATCATCATCACTGCACACAGCAAAAAGGTTCCATCTCCATTGCATTTCTAAACTACAGAGAGGGGGGTCTGGAAGTTGAATACWATTGTGTGCCCCAAGGCTGACAGTACGGTCAGGAAGTATATTTTTAAGGGTGATGATGCCAAGAGTTTCCTGTGCTTTCGTGTTGGCTGTAGCATCATTTTAATGTCTTTTTTTTTTAATCTTATGCAGCTCACAGCAGGATTACTGTAGAGGTTGGTCACGAAGCTGTGCTGAGTTGCCCCAACCTCTCCAAGGTGTCTTTGCTGCTGATGACATGGAAGAAGAATTGCAGCAGCTGCTGCTTGTTGTCCTATAGAAGTGATCAGAAAATGATACAGAAGGTGAATTGCAGTGAGAGGATCATGTGGAAATACAGTGACCCTGCACTTCAYATTTACCCGGTGGACCTCGAGGATGAGGGAAATTATACCTGTGAAATTGCCAACAGTGAAGGGAATTTTAATTTTTTCTYTTCTCTGACTGTGATAGGTAAGAGGCATCACCGAAATAAAAGTTAAATTAGTCTATTTCCAGCATAGGCAGGAACAGAAGAACAAAAGAATGTTAGGAAGCATAATAAATACATCAAATCRCCTTTTTCATATAGTCAGGTAAACTATATCTGGGTTCCCATAAATTAAAAAAAAAAAGGGAAGATTTTGTGTTCTGGTATGTAAGTTAAGTCTTCTGTGTAGAATAGAACTAAAAATTATAATAAGTGAATTTTGCAACTCTATAGTTGCTATTATTAATTTTAGTCACTTGATTTTTTTTTTTAATTAGTTTGTTTTGGTTTTGGGTTTTTTGTTTCTGCAGGATTCCCTGCAGAATCTTGCCTTTCTGATAAAGGCTGAGGTGGTGTGGATCTTTCTCTGTTTTGCCAAACGCAGAATATGAGTTGTTGGACTTCAAGCAAAACAGTTTTGCCCGATTTGTCTTTTATTTCCCTGCTATCACCTTTCTGATTCTATGTCCAAACTTCTAAATATTGTACCTGAAGCTTCAGCAATCTGCCTTTTTGTCAGTGAAGCTGTACATCTTTATTTAATCCCATTTCCAGTTAAGCTGTCGTCACCTCTTGGAAAACAGGAGGAAGCAGTATTTTAGATGCAGCCAGCTGGTTCTTGAGAGGTCCACTTTGGACATTTTCATTTTTTTTTTCCCCCTAAAAATGCTGCTAATATTTCAAATTATTACAGAATCTCATGAATTGGTCAGGCAAACTAAAAAATATCACCTAGTTTCAGTTTCTCAGTTGGTGATTTTATGCTACAAATGAAATAAAAATAGAAAATATGAATAGAAGTAATGGTTGTGGTTTTTAAAAATTTCTTCTATAGTCCCTCCTACAGTGACTCTGATCCCTGACCAGAGCAGGGTGGCAGTCTGTCAGGCATCTGCAGCAAAGCCAGCTGCTGAYATCTCCTGGATCCCTGCAAGCAATCAGAGCACTGAGGAAGAATTCCATCACCCCAATGGAACTGTGACCAGAGTGAGCTACTTCGGCTGGGCCAACAGCACATCTCCCTCTGTCACCTGCCTGGTCACCCACCCAGCGACAAACCACACTCTGCTCCTGGACCTGACATGTAAATAACATTCTGTGGTTGCTCTGCATCCTGCCTGGGGCTTCTCTGTGCTGTTCTGTGCAGCTGCTCCCACTGAATGCCAGGGCCCTGGAGCTGGGTTGATGTGGTTATAAGGTGAAGTCTTAATGTGTGTTGATAGAGAAATCAATAATTTTGTGTTAGCTGAAACCAAATATTTTGTGGCACTGTATGGAGAAGCTTTCAGTGTGTGTTTTGTTCAGTTCCTGTTCTGTTTAACAAGAATTCCTTATTTTGCTTTTAGTGGGTTCACCTTGGCTGGCCACCAGGTGCCCACCAAGCTGCTCCATTGCTSCCCCTCATCAACAGACAGGGAGAAAAATAGAATGAAAAGTTAATGGGTCAAGAAAAAGACAGGGAGAGATCACTCACTGTTACAGACAAAAGAGAMCTGTGAAAAGTAATTTTTTGCCACTCAGAGTAGGATAGTGAGAAATGAGAATTAATCTAAAAGCACCTTCCCCACAACCTTTTGTCCAGCTTTTCCACAGTAGTGATGGTCTGGAGAAAATTTCTTTGGGGCATGTCTGTCTGGCAAAGTTCTTTCTGAGAACCMAAGGTAGCTAAGGGTAAAATTCAGCTTTTACTCTGGCTGTGCTAGACGTGTTGGAAGTCTATAGCAGTAGGATTAGTAAGAAAAAGTGCTCATATCACCAAAGAATCTCATTAAAGGCATGAAGGAGAGAAGTCAGCATAGACTAGTCTTTAATAGCAGCATTTTGACCACTCAGTTTTGTGTTTCAGGGCTAATAGTGTTTGTAGGAAAGGAGAGTGTCAAGGCAGATGAGCTGAAAACGAAAATGTGTTTGTACACACAAAGACTGGGGGTGTGAGGCAGCTTCCTATTGCTGGTTGGCATCTGGGCATCTCAKCTGTTCCTCTCTGCTTTGTTTGGAAAGGTAGGCAGTGAAGGCAGGCAGTCACATCACAAATCCACAGATACTGACACCTAGCTCTGTGACTTGCTCTCTTTTCTCATCCCTCAGACACTTCCCACAGGCTTCTTTACCTCCTGATAGGAGCACCTGCAATTGTTGTTGCAGTCGTTGGTGTGATTTCATGCTTGATTTTCAGATGCMGAGGTGAGTCTTTGGATGAACCTGAAATGTATTAAAATCTGACTGTGCAGGTACAAGGACATGCACCTTATTTCTGAGAGTGAGGTGGAAGGCAAGGGCTGAGGAAAATGTTCATACATGATGTGTTGTCCTTTTGGAGAAGTCATAAAATAAGGGGTGGCAACTTAAAATAAGTCTGGAGTTTTGAAAGAGCCATAGGTTTTATGATATTAATGCATTACAGACATCTCAGARGTAGAACCAGGATGAAAAAGGTTCTTTCTGAGAGTAGGGTAGGTTTTGAGTTTTTAGAATTATTTTGTTCATTCTGTATTTACCAGCACAAAATTCTGTATTTAAGAATGACAGTCCACAAACTAATGACTAGGCACAAACAAGCTCTGTTTCCACCAGCAGTGTTAAGTTTTCCCTTGAGCAAGTGTAAGAATAGGCCAAATGTACATACTTTGACATCTTTCAGGTTATTATGCATTGGGCATATCAGATAGCTGATTTGTTTCCTTTCTCATACTAAAACACAGCTACTAAGAAGAAACTGAACTCTACCCCCGTAGAAACCAGGACACCATTACATAAACGGGCACGTGGCCCTGCAGGACCCTTTGCAGTAAGTGGGTTTTTGTGTGTGTGTCCTTTGCAGTTTTTGGTGCATTCTCAACTAAAACATGTGATGTCTTTGCAACGTGTCTACTTTGACAAACCTCCCCTTTGCCTCTGTGTGCACCTGGAGGGGGCAATGAGAACCACACCATCTGTGAGGATGTCTGTTGTTTGGATGGCCCCATCTTTACATTTCCTGCCTATAAATTACATTTAYAATGCTGAATTTTATCTCTCCCAAAACTTAGTTTAGTTGAGTGTTTTCATATTTCTTCTTCACAGAGGAGTCTTAATTCAGATATTTTGTTTAAGAATGTGTATWCTTGATGGCAGAAACCTGCCTGATMTCAGCTTGGATGAAACCAGACATGCCTTTTACAATGAAGGGAAAGGGTMCACTTTGTTTTGCTGTATTAGAGACAAACACAGCTATGAAACTTTTATTTTTTAAGTGGCAGTTCATATACTTGGAAGCCAGGAAACTGCAGTGATAAATCTGCCATCACAACTTTTACTTATTCTAATTCCAGGTGTTGTGATATATATTTAACAGAATGAAAATATGCTGCTTTTTCCAGAGGGCTTCTGCCTCACTTAAAGCACATGGAAAGACCAATTATTTCATATTTTGTGTTCTGCTCATGATTTAATTAATGGTCATGTGCCTTATTTGCTGCAAAYGAGTCAGAATGCTCTGAAGTTAGAATGTTTAATTTCCTGATATGCTCTTGTGTGGCATTCAGGACAATTTCACTGATGAGAGTGGGAGTTGTAGAGATCAAAGTTAAGGTTTCCACTGATTTTAGGTGCCTAAACTGGATTGTTTGTGRTCTGCCTGTTTTTATTTGGTGCGTGTTTGTTTGTTCACTTTTGTTTTGTTTTCAGAGAAGTTAGCATTGTTCATTATTGTCTATTTTGCTGTCCAAAATTTGTTTTCAATTATATTAAGAAAAAGAAATTCAAACGCTGTCCTGTTGAAGGCTGTTCTTGCATCTGTCTGGCAGTTCATGTTGCACTCTCTGTGCTCTACTCATTCTCTCAGAGGGCACGGAGAAATCACTGGGTTTTTTTTTTTTTTGGTATTTTTTTTTGGTTTTTTTGAAACAGTGATGTTACCTACCAGGTTTCTTCTGCTCTTGTTTTCTGTTTGGACTCTAGAGGAATGATGGTTCCACAAAATCCTCCACTGTAATATAACTGTACATGTTTTTCTTTCTGTTGCAGACTAAAAACTCCACACCCTCACATGTGAGAAGAGAAGCAGTCAAACCTCCTGTCTTTCAGGAGAAAATCTATGAGAATTACTGCCCAAGATCTGTATATGTGTTTTAATAACTGTGTAGGCACAAGTAGCCTGCTCAACTGCTCATGATACACAGCTACTTGAACGTGAACTTGAGTCATTAACCCTCAGACATTGCCCACAAAACCCTTTGTATTTCCTGACCTGACCATGGTGGGGCACAAAAGTCTCAGTAAGTTGTTTCTCTCTTTCTCTAAACATCAGTACATCTCTCAAAAAAMCCTGGAACTTTTAAAGATTGAATTAGGTAAATTCCTACTTTAATTTTGTTTGGAAGTGGACTCTGAAGTATRTGCTGCCTTTCATCAAAACAATAATTGATGTCTTTCTGTGCCCAAGTAACAGAATGCTAGTGGAAATATAGCACTTTTCTTTCCATTTTAGCAACTGGATTCTCTTAGCAGTTTTGTGTTGGAAACCAGAGAATGACATGGGGGCCCCCAAAATATAGAAGGTCAAAGTAACATCTCTAACAGAAAGACAGAAATAAGAGAGTTTTAGGTTTTTTTGGTTGTTTTGTTAGGTTTTCTAGGTAGACTGCATGTTAGGTTGCATGTGGCAGATGGTGATCTGGTATTTGTCATATTTTTATTTTAAAATTTTAAATATATTTCTTTTCCAATTAATCTTTTTGATTGCTTTGATAATTGATGGAAAATAATTTGATATTATACTGGATATGGAAATGAAAAACAGTACTGGACAATTTTTGGAAATTAATTTTAAAGTAAATGTGCAAATATGCAAATATTTACCTAAAGTGTTTCTGTGGTTATTTGGGTAAATGTTTGTTGACCAGTTTCTCAGAAGCTGAGACCACAGCATGGTTTTATTGAGAACAGAAGCGTTAAGTTGTATAAAATGTTGATGGTGTGCTTGTTTAAAATAGAAAAAAGACAACCCTAACCACACCATTCATTTCTTCTCATCCTCATGYCCCCAGGCTGAAAAAAGCCCCACAGACTGGTTCTTAATTTCAGTTTTTGTTGGTCAGATCTGTCAAACTTTCCAAACACTACTGCAGCAGTAGCTACACTCAAATGTGTGTTTTGAAGAGCCTTTTCCTACCTGTTGCTGCAGGGTCATCTCTGCATGAGATCTCACAGTGCTGTTTAATTGTACTTTATCACTCCTAAATAGTCATGGATGTCTGTTGACATCACTCCAGCCTTTCATTTTAGTCAGAAAGGCATGAAGAATGACTCTCTGCCTTAAAGAAAAGGGCCTGCACAAGGGAGGCAAGGGAAGCTTTCCTGTGGTGTTAAATGTCAGTGATGGGTCACTCTCTCACAGCTCTCTGCAGCTTCATCAGGCCTTCTGTGGAGAGGAGAAGCACCTTTTCACATGTAAAACCTCTGGGAGAAAAAAGTAGCAGCTTGGAATTAGTGCAAACAGGTTTGAAATAATGCTAGACAGGAAAAGTGTTTTGTAGCTCTGGTGAAATCTGCAGCAGTGCCTGAGTCCAAGGTGCTGCYGAGGGGTCACTTGTGACTGGAAGCTTCTGAAATAGAGGGAGGATCTCTTGTTGCTCAGGGAACTTCCCAGTCAGGTTTAAACCTGGTTTCTCAATGTGGTAAGCTGAGCATGGATAGTTTTTTTATGAACAGCTACAACAATCTGCGCCTTTTTCAGAAGCTGGATTGCTGCAGCCAGACCGAAGGATGACAGGGCTGTTAAAATGAAGAGTTAGGCTGTGGAGCAGTCTGSTTTTGGCAATCACATTGCATGTGTGTTGTGATTATTAGGGTGAATGTAAGAACTTTTCATAATTCCTTTGCACCAAGTGAGATGTTGAAGAGTGAGATCTAATGGARACAGAAAAAACAGAACTTAGACAGGGAGATGATTGTATGTGGGGASGAAACTCTCTGAAGGAGCATCACTGTGATAATTTGACCTGGCTGAAAATTATGCTTTTCACACTCATAACTTACTTGTATTTCATGGAATTGGTCCGGTCACCTGCAATGTATCAGCACTTCCATGACCCCAGAAATTCTGAGCAGACTGAGCTGAAACGAGGTGCTCTGGCAATGACATAGGTCCATTCATGCTGCAGGTACTTGGTGAAATGGGCTCTGCTGGTGGCTCCACAGCTCTTAACAGCCATGTGGGCAATGGTTTGCCTGATTTCTTATTTTTGGGATAGCCCAAGAGCCAGTCCTGCTGCAACTGCTCAGAAGATTAGCTTACAGCATTGTAGTCAGTCTTGGATCATAACCATTCTATTGCAACAAAAAACTTGAGTTCTGAACCCACAGCTCAGRAGAACTCACATGTTGTAGGCATTAAAATGTCTCAGCTGCCTAATTGTATCTTCTTTCTGAAAAAATTGGGCCCTCATGCACTTCAAGCTTCAAATTGTGTGTTGGTCTCTTACAAGARTTTGTTCTCAAAAATAAGCAACTTGAGAATGTTTTTATGAGTATATTTATAATGCTTTTTCCCCCTCACCCTTAATTATAAGTATGCTTTTGGTGACCCCGTACTGTTTTTATTTGCACTGAAAGCAAATTTAAGCAAGGCAGGTATTTTAGATGCCAAAATGGCCTTGCCAAAATGTGTAGGAAAATGCTGACTGTTTGTTGAATAATCGTGAGACAGCTATTAAAAAGTGATGGGAATTGGAGTGAGCTATTTGCACATTGTCACAAGAAAAAAAAAAAAATTAAAAAGCCTGGGAGCGTGACACTGCTGTTTCAGATTGACTATTTAGTCAAATGCACAGTTGACTGAATGTCACTTGAGCTTTTTATCATCAGATGTGATTATAGATGAAAATGCTCCTGTTTATTGTGTGGATTTTCATTCACATTGTTCATAGGACACTCTTTGTAATAATGATGATGTCTGCTTTCTTTTTAATCTATGAACAATTTATCTTCTGGAAATAGCAGGTGTAGTGATGCCTCTTTCTCTTCACTGAATATGGAAAAARTGGTGACAAAGAGTTATGTTTAGAGCCTCATAAATTGGAATGGAACTTCAGATTATGAATAATATTTGTTTAAAATCACAAATTTCAACAGGATTGAAATGAAGAAGGTAAACAATTTTCCTACCGACTTTGGAAATGGGGCAAATGTGCAAATGGTATTTGCCAGTTCAGTAAAAGAYCCAGTTTCCTAAGTTGGAAATTGCATCTGTAAGTTTTGTCTAACCTTCCTGGCATCAATTTGTCACAGCTTTTCTTCTCTGATGAGAAAATAATGTTTTCTTTGGTTCTCCTCTAATAACTGCAACACCTGTGATGTCTTTGTACTTGGTCTTTCTGACTTTGTGAAGTCTTTGCTATTAATGATAACTTGTCCTCAGCTACTCGATTTGGTGTCCACAATCTGTCATGTGCTGGAGGCAGTGAAGGCCTCAGGAATTAACCAAGTGGGACTTATTCTACGTTTCCTATCACTTCTCTGTTCTGCAATAGTTTTGCTTGTGCTCTTGGTCATGTTTCTTTAACAAATATCCACTTTTCTTTCTCCTCCCMAGTCTTCTCATACACTAGTATTCTCAGTTAATTGATTTTCATATTTTCYAAGTATTTTATTATCCAGTTTAATTCCTTCTCTTTTTTGCATCAAATACAATCTTATTCTTTGTTTCTTTGTTGCCTTGTGTGTGTATGTAACTGACTTGCTTTGGAATTTTTTAGTGCTTTTCACTGAACTTCTCCATAAAGATATACTTACTCCAGGTCTCCTTCACTTTTTTTTTTTGGTGTTTTTTTGCCAATTCATGATAGAAAATTAATCACTCCTGATAATAAACATCTTCTGTTCTTTGACTTCTGCGAATCTAAGTTCWCTTACCAAACCCAAATGCATAATATGCAGCATTTTAYTGGTTCTTGGCTGACRTCTGTCTTACAGAATCATAGAWTTTTTAAGATTGGAAATAACTTCTAAGATCATYAAGTCCAACCATTAACCCAGCACCACTGTTGTCACCCCAAATCGTGTCCCTCAGTGACACGTTTACATGTTTTTGGGCACATCCATGGATGGTGAATCTGCCACTTCCCTGGGCAGCCTGTTAAAATGCCCCACCAGCTTCTCAATGAAGAAACTTTTCCAAATATCTACTAAACTCTGCAGCACCTTTGAGGAAGAGTGAGAAAAATGTGAGAGGGACAACCCTGCAGACACCCAGGCCAGTGTAGGAGAGGCAGGAGGAGCTCCAGGTGCCAGAGCAGAGATTCTGCTGCAGCCTGTGGTAAGACTGTGGTGGGGCCCATGGAGATCCATGGAGGAGCAGATTTCTGCCTGCAGCCCAGGAGGATCCCACAGAAGAGCAGATTTCTGCCTGCAGCCCATGGTAAGACTGTGGTGGGGCCCATGGAGATCCATGGAGGAGCAGATTTCTGCCTGCAGCCCAGGAGGATCCCACAGAGGAGCAGATTTCCGCCTGCAGCCCATTAGGATCCCATGGAGGAGCAGACTCCTGGCAGGAGCTGTGACCCTGGGGAGCAGTCCATGCAGGAGCAGGTTTTCTGGCAGGACCCACACTGCAGCAGTTTGTTYCTGAAGGATCCCTGTAAGCRCCCCACAGGAAAGACGACRCGAACTCTAAGCAGRTCCAGGTTCTTCTTTATTAATCTTCGGATTTCAGCTCTGTCCCTTACCAGCAACCTAACATGAGTTATGTACACTTTCTTATCTCCTGCATATAGAATTACACCAATCACACATGCCTCAGYCAGATCACATGGCTAGGCAACCTCCAATGTCCATGCACCATGTTCCTTTCTATAATTGGTGGTCAGCTTYATTTGTCCAATCCTGTTCATCTCTGTGGCTGGCTGCRTCACCCAGTCCGAGCCTGCGCTGTTTARTCCATTTGAGCCCASGCTGTGTCCGAGCCCAGCCCCCACACACAGCTGTAAGATAGCAAGGGCCACGGCAGATCCCATTGAAAGGGCCCATGCTGAAGCAATTAATGAACTGCAGCCTCCACATTGGAGCAATTTGGGAAGGACTCTCTCCCATGGTAACGASCTTGATGGAGCAGAGGAAGAGTGTGAAGGAGCAGCAGAGATGAAGAGCTATGAACTGCCCCCCAAACCTCATTCCCACCCCCCCTGCACAGCTGGGGAACGTGARGTAAATCTGTGAAGAAGAGGGAGTGGGGGCAAAGAGAGTTTTAATTTTGTTTTTCTTTCTCACTCTCCTCCTCTGTTATTAATTACTAATAAATGATACTAACTTCCTCAAGTCAACTGCTTTGCCCATGAATGATCTCCCCATTCTTATCTTGACCCATGAACTTTTCCATCACATTTTYTCCCCCTGTCCTGCTGAGYAGGGRTAGTGAGAGYRTGTCTGRTTGGCCAGGTGGCAGCTGGCCAAGGTCAATGCACCACACCAGGCTTAGTCACCAGCAGAGCTATAATAGGAATGAGGATGCTGTAAACATCAGATTCTACATCATTAAGGCATTTTTATGCGGATGGTCCTTCCCTAGGTCTTCTGACTTTAATCTCATCACTGTGTACTGAGCTCTGAAAATTTCATTTCCACTCATTCTATTCTCTCAGCTGTCAATAAGTACTGCTGAGCAAACAAGGCTAAGTGCTTTYGGGATTGATTTTTGTCTCACTTCTCCCACAGTCCAACAGAGTTTATATTGTCATATCATAATGTTCATATCTAGCTGTGCTTATATTTTAGATTTCCATGTGTACGTCTGAAAACCATGGCAAACCCCCCTGAAATCATTTCTGTGTTAGATTTATGATCTCAGAAGAATACAACCCCCTCTTCTGTGCAAAACTTGTGGCAGAACAAYGTGCTTAGTACATAAATGTCTTGTTGTAACTCACTCCATCTCTTGTGTGAGAGGAGTTTGAGTGGAATAAACAGATGAGTGCGCCAGTTACTGAAAAGCTCTGGTCTGGCTGCTTGTCTTTTTGTGCAACTTGCTTGAAATATTCMAATCAGGAAAATTAGAATCCGACAGCACCAGTTAGTGTATTGTTAGGGCTGCCTCCTTAATCAGGCAAGTTGGTGCCTGCAAAGCTCTGATACCTTCAGGAGCACTGCCTGCCTGCRGGTCTGAATATCCACCAGCTACTCTTAGTATCACATCCTTCATCGTTGTCATTCTTGTGTAATCAACAGTGGCTGCCAATTTCATGCTGCTATAGAGAGCAAAAAAAAAAAAAATTGTACACCTATATGCAAACATCTCGATTCAGAGGTACATTGCTCCATGTGTGTGTGTGTGAAGCTGTGAATATATACAGAAAAGGTAAGGATTTTTTCCTTGAGAAATTAATTTCTTAATAATTTCCCATCAACAGAACATCTCATTATGTATAAATGTTGTGAAAGACTATACAAGACAGATAGACATATGAGGGGAAAAATCA